ATGCCCGCAGTCCTGCAAAGCTGAGGCAGGCCCCAGGCCACCATATCCTGCCACCAGACCAGATGACCCTACCTGCCCAGGAATGTTTTCTCCAACAAAGACTCACTGGGTGAAATGGGAGTGACAGCCATACCCTGCCTGGCTCTCGATCACTGTAGCATCCAGTTGTTTTAAAGGTCAAAGGCCCAGGGAGTGAGTCAAGACCTGGTTGGGCCTGCAGGCTTCGACTGTCCTCCCAGGCAGCTCTGTCAGGGGGACAAGGCTCATCACCACTCCCAGGTTCTTCCTGCAGGGAGCCTTCCTGAATGACCAGGCTGGGTGCAGGCCCTCTTCTGTGCCTAAGCCCATGTGCTCACCCACACCTAGCCACTGACAGACTACCGCAGGCTTCACAGAGAGCCAAGGGAACTGGCGGGGCCAGCACCTATAGCCTGGCCCAGAGAGGCTGCTGCACCACTGCTTTGAGAAGAGCCTGCCCCGCCCGCTGGCTCCTGGCCATGAGGGGCTCTCACCTCAACAGCTGGTGAGACTGTACTTGGAACAGTGCAGTCAGGGCCCATGGGTCCAGCTTCCTCAGGACATCACTATGAAGCAGGAAACTGAGGCAAACTTGCAGCCCTTGCTGTTGTGACAGATGGCTCTTCAGGACACAGGACAAGGACACAATGTCTCATGTCCCACAGCCCTTGCCTCATGCTAGACACAGAGCAGGGCTGCTTCCCCAGCCTCCTGGATCCAGCTCACTGCAGCTCTTCTCCGAGGAGCAGGGAGGGGCCATGTGCCCTTCATCATCCTCATCACTCAGCCCAGCAGGCCTGGCTGAGGGAAGCCAGCGGCCTCCAGATGAGTCCACGGCCTGGGAAACCAGAGGGCCCCTGTGGGTCTCAGTGGTGCATGGGGCTGGGCAAGGCCCAGAGGGGTCTCTAGATGGCCTGAGAGCCAGGCCCACTGCTGTCCCTCTCAGAGGAGTTACCTAGTCCTGAGAAACAAATGGCCTTCAAACCAAACCCCCCAAATGAGCATCTAAAACAATGTCTCTATTTGTACAATTTACAGTTGACATCTAATATTTCTCATCATAAGTTTAAATACTTGCAGAGGATGTAATTTCCAACATACTGTAAATATTAACATTTTAAACTAAAACTGTTACTATTTCTCTTTTAAATGGATCCAATGGAATCTAAATACCTTAGTGGTCTGAGATCCACCATCATCCATCTCAAAATTATATAACCAAGCTCTCCTTGACACCTGGAAATCCCACCACGTTCCTTTTTCTTCCTGGACTCTAATTCCCAGCCCACTTTCCATTGGGATGTTTATGCAATCACAGCACATGCTGGGAAGCCCTGTTCTGATTATTCCACAACTGAGCCAAAACATACACATGTATAGATAATGTTTCTTTTCTTCATTTCTCATGTGACCATAAAGCTCTTCAGTGTCAAAATGTTTCTTCTCATTACAATTAATATTAGGACACAACTGAAAAACATGACAGAAACATTTAAAATTATACAAATGAGAATCACAGAAAGTACAACTTTACTGGAAACACAACTTTGAGGCGGTGAATGGGACCTTTAAAGTCATTTCCTGTATCCACAGATGAGTATCATCTACTGCTGGAACGAGACAGGCTTATCAATTCTATCTTCATTTTTCAGCTTTCATGGATATGTGTTAAAACCACTTACTCAAAAAAAAAAAAGGAAAGAGATCTGTCATAGCAAATTCTTTGGATTCCTGTAGAATCATATGCCAAGAATTACAGTAATCTCTCATCACAAATCTTTGTTTTCCATGCTGGGGACTAGCTGGCCCCGGGGGCCCTGTGTGCTAGGCAAGCACTACACTACCACGTGCACCCCAGACCTCCAAGATCACTCTTGACGTGCTATCGGCTGACAACTTGCGCAGTTCCTCTTCCAATTCTGTTGCAAACAAGGAACAGGGACCACCTCCCTGGCCCAGGGTTATAACGATGACTGGCGGGCTTCCTGTCCTGCAGTCCACCCCTGGGTTCAGGCCTGCCTAAGGAAGCAAGAACACGTGGCTCTGCAGATCACCAGTTTCTTAGAGCCAGGTCCAGTGCCAACTCTGTTACCCAAAATAACTGAGTCCTCACACCAATCCTGGGCACAGACAGTAGAATTATCCCCCTTTATAGCTGAGCAGACTGACACACAGAGTCCTTAAGCAACTGGTCCCAAGTCACACAGCCAGAGACCTAAACCTGGGTGGTCTTATTCCACACCACTATAACACTATCCCTAGAAAAAGGAGGAGGAACAATGTGGAAGGGGTAGCAGGGGTGACAGGAAAGGAGTTTATAAGCTCTTTTCCCAGCACACAGCTATGGGACCAGCACCTGAGGAGGTGAACATGCGTAAATAGTACCTCCACCTGGGAAGGATTATACACAAAGTTCCTTCAGAGTAAATGGCTTCGATGCCTGGTATACTGAAGTTCCCATAAGTACTGAACACTGATGAATGGCAGGAAGAGGAATGATTCCATGACCTGGACAAACACTGCAGGACCTTGCCAGGGTTTTCAGCCTTGGGTCCTGACCCAGCCTCAGCATCCTTTTATATGTAGCCAAAGGCAGGAACACCAGGCAGGCAAGCAGTTAGTAAGTGGAGCAGCCCACTACCATGCTCGGGAGACCGCCTGCCCAGCAGACAACAGGCCCACACCAAGCCCAACGCTGCCACCAACCAGCTGAACACCCCAAGAGGTCACTTTGTCCTGAGCCTCAGTTTCCTCATCTCTACAGAGGACGCACCATCACTGGGTGCCTCTCCAGACTGGGAAAGTGGACCTGACACAGCCGATGTGGAGGTGGCTGGTGCAAGGTCACCCTCACCCTCACTACCACCTTAACCAGGGCCCAGAGCCAGAGACTGGATACACAGAAGCCTAATTTTGTAAAACCAGCCAGGTGATGTGGCTTGCAAATTTTGCAAAGCCTTTCCCAATGTCTTAAAATTTAAAACACCCAGGGGTGCCAAGAGGAGGTGAGGGAGAGGCTTTACTGTGGGTTTTATTTTTAGATGCCAGAGTGGAAAACGTCCAGTTTGGCCTCATTCTGGTCCCTAGTCACCACTTCCTTCCCCGAGTCATCATCAAAGGAAGAACAGACACATCTTGAAAGACTTCAGAGCCCCTCCTCTGCCCGCCTAGCACATTCTGAAGCAGTGACTCCAGTCTCCTGTCCCACCCATGACTAAGCAGGAAAGGTTCGGCACAGCCTCCTAGGAGGCCCGGGAAACCTCCTGTGGCCCCTGGTTGTCTTTCACACCCTGTGCATGTGAATGGGATCATGTGAATGGAAGGGTCTGGAGGAGGAACGCCTCTCTTCCTCTGTCAAGAAGGGAGTCTGCTGGTAAGCACAGGCCCTCACTTCCTCCAGGAACCACTCCCAGCAGTGACCCTCCTCCTGGGCCCTTATCAGTGCTAAGGCAAACCACAGGGAAGCCCAGAACTGTCCCTTGCACATCGAGCACCAAGTAGCACCAAGAGTTCCTTGATGGGTATACATCTGCAAAGGGTTTTCAAGTTAGCCTTCAGAAAGGGCTAAAGCCTCTCCAGCATCCTGGATTAGAAATGGTCCACACCCACCTCCTTTGCACACACCTGTGTCTGTGGCAGGCATTATCCACCATCCCCCATCCTCACCCATGCACACTGAGAACCCCCAGGCAGCAGAGAAGGCCCGGAGGCACACCTCTTGGCCATTCCTGAAATGGACAGGGAAATCAAAGTCCACAATTCAGTTCAGTTGTCAGTCATGCAACTCTACAAAGCCAAGATGAGCCTTCATGAACAGGAGACGGCTGACCAGAGGCTTCCAGAAACTCTCTCTCTACCCCAAAGCAAACCTCAGCTCTCTGATGACCAATCAACCCTCATACCACCAGCAGGAAGTCAGGAGGGGCATGCAGCACCCTTCGCCAGAGCTGTGGACAATATTGCAGGAGCTACCAGTGCCCAGTCTGACCCTGAGCAGAGGATGCTCCAGGGCTTCTGTGCTGCCCCTTTGGGCTTGAAGTGCTGAATCTGCCAGGAATGGGGCAGTCATTCCCAGTGGGCTCCTGAAGCCAACCACGCAGCCTCTGAGAGCTCCCCAGCAAGCTTTCTGGAAGCTTCCTACAGGGGGCCCAGCTCCTCATCAGCCCTGATCTGGTTTCTGGACTGGCTGGCCCTCTCTGCAGGGGCCAATGACCATGGGTCTCCATGCCACAAGGTGCCAGGTGTGCCTGTGGCTGCAATGTCGTGCCTGCCATTCACGGCAGGTCTGAAGGTATCTGTGTTTACATAGACAAAAATGCCCCCCTTCCCACCCTCATGAGTCATAACCACAGCAGCAAATATCACCAGCCAGAGAGCACCCAGGCAGCCCCTCACTCCAGGCTCTTCTCTGATAGGTCAGACCTCCTGGCTCTCCAGAGACAGCTGCTGTCAGAGCCTGTGCATCTACTTCCTGTCCTGGGACAGTTTCTCCATCCAGCCATCCATCCTCCTTCCTTCCTTCTCCCTCCCTCCTCCACCCACCCTTCCTTCTCTCTCCATTCATTCCTCCGTTCTTCTCCATCCATCCATTCCATCTATCCTTCCTTCCTTCCTTTTCCAGCCAATGAGCTCCTGGCCCAAGTCCACTCGGAATGAGGCAGAAAAGGGTACAGAACAACGGACACCTGCCTGGGCGACTGCTGAACCCTCAGCTTTTCCACCCCCAATGCGAGCAATATTATGACCCCCAGAACTCCCAAACTAACCCCAGCTCCTTCCCCAAAAAGGCACAGTAACTCTGCAAGGCAGCAGCCATCAACCACCTGTGTCCAGCCTGGTGAGGAAATGGCATTTAATCCTCAGGGGAAAGTTACCAACTAGAGTGTGACAAGAGGGCCAAGCACTCAGACTCCTACGGAGTTGGGAAAGGGGAGACTAGGTCACGCTACCTGGAAGGCGGTCAAAGTGCAGTCTGTACTCACCTGCACCACCTCTATCCCCCGCTTCCTGTGGAGAAAAACAAAGAAAACACACGTTACTACAGCAGGCAGGAAGGAGAACGTCCACTACAGCTAAAGGCAGGCCAGCGCTGAGAGCTGCCCTGGGAGAGTGGGCACCAGTCTCCATGTCGCCCGGACAGCCATGCTCTCCAGGGCAGGGATTCTCACAGCCACCAAGGGCTAGAGGAGAGGGTGAAGCTGGCTGAAGTCCCATTAAGGACTCATAATGGCTGTCCTCCCTCTGATCCAGGGGCCAGGCCTTCTTCAGTGGCTCCAGCCTGCATTGTCCCAAGACTCTCCCACCACCAAATTCACCATGGACGCCAGTGCCTCTGCTCAGCTCAACCTCCCCCCATGGCTCCCCATGCCATCCAGCCTCAGGCTGAACACCTTGGGCTGGCGTTCAGGTGTGCCACAGCCTGAAATAGCCTGCTACACCCAACCGAAAACACTCTCACCCACGGGAAGCCACAGGATCCTGACCTCATACCCTTCTCAGGCCAAACATGTCTCCAGTACCAGCCATCTCTGGCCCCATGGACTCCCTGCCAGTCCCTTGACCCAGTCCACCCACACCCCTCCTAGTCTAAATCTCACGTCCTCCCCCTTTTTCCCCCCTCTCCCACATAGTCTCAGGCTACTATCTGTCCCCACATATGCCTGACTTTGCCCACCTACTAAGAGCCTGGGTCTGGGTCTGCCCAGAGCACAGAGCCCTCATCCTCGCCCCCCACATTTCCTCCCACAAGCATAGCCAGGGCCCCTCTGTGTGGAACAGCACAGTGTCATCCCACAGCACCCTCCCCAACACCCCAGCAACACTCCCACAGACCTTAAGCTGCTACTCTCCCAGCCCTTTGTGCGAGAGCATGGATCACCATCACCTAGGAGTGCCCTGGGTAGGGTTACCAGGATCTGTAGGGACTGAGAAAGACTGAAGTGCATGTTGTGTGCTTGCTGGGAAGAAGGCAGGGCCTCTGACAGCCATTCAAAGAAGCCTGGGACCAGGCAACAGGAACTAGAGTTGACTCCCCAAGCTCCGTAGAGTAAAGAACGTTCCAAGATTAAAAACTGTGTGCCCCACACCTAGCTCTGGTGCTTGCCTGGCATGTACATGCTCATGAACAGTTGCTGGTAAATGAAGGTATAGAAACAGGAAAACTTAGCTCAGCTCCTGGCCCCAGCCCAGTCCAGCACTCTGAGGGTACAACAAATGCCCTTTGGGAAAATCCTGCTGGCATCCAGATTATCCTAGCACATGGCTCTCATCTCTACCAAGCCAACTGCAGTCATTCCAATCAGTCCACATTTTACAACATCTAGTCCTTTAAAAAAAATTTTTTTTAAGAAGATCCCTAGCTTTGGGGCTGGGTTTGTGGCTCAGCAGAGAGTATTCGCCTCTCACACTCAAGGGCTGGGTTCGATCCTCAGCATCACATAAAAATAAATAAATAAAGGTATTGTGTCCAACAATAAATATTTAAAAAAAAAAAAAAGATCCCCAGCTTTGAAAACAGATGGAACACAAAAATAAGAAAGCAACAACAACAAAAGTAATCAAGAGAAAAGGTAGGCTGAACTCTTCAGGGGGTTGAGCTCCCCAGAGTCCCACCAGCCCCACCAGCTCAGAGCTCCTAAAACAGGATAAACTGGAACTTTGGCAAAAAGTGGGGCTTGGTTCCCTTCAGTCCACGTCAGGTCACACACACCTGAACCCTTCCTGCCCGCTGACTCCTCCTGCAGCCCGAGGAGGGAGGGCACAGGCTTCCCGCTGCTCCGGTGAGTAAGCAGAAGTTCAGGGGACTCAGGAAGCCAGGAGCTGGCCAGAGCCAGGTCTGCCCCACCTGCATTCACAGCCAGGTGTAGCACAGTGGGCGGTGGCACCCAATGGGCTAGCACCTCTGGCCTCCAGGGCCACATTGTAAGGGAATGAACAGGGAACACTGGCGGAAAACCATGTCCCCTCTGGTAGTGGAGCCCGGTGCACTACCCCAACTCCTCTTGGGAAATAACCTGTCAGGCAGGGCTCATTCCCTCATTGGAAACTTCTGAAAAGCAAAGGTACCAGCAACCTCGAAATCCCCAGGAGCAGGCTCCTGAAATCCTGCCATAACCAGAAAGTTCAGAAAGAGAACTGTGAAGCCAAAGGGCAAGAGGGAGAAGGGAGGGACATGGGGAACAGAGGAACAGTACCAGCTGCTCCCTCTTGAAAACCCTAACTCCACCGCCCACCTTGTCACCCTAGACACACTCAGGGTGCAAAATACTTCAGACTCGGGGATCCCACTGCCAACCCGTCTGTGATTGCAAAAGATTGGTAGCGAACTACATGTCCCCAAGAGGTTCCACTAACAAACCACATGCCCGAAAGAACAGCATGAAGCAGTAGAAAGAATAAGGAAGCCCTCCCTGTGCCCAGGAGGAGAATCACCTCCACAAAGCTGCATGTGAAAAATGCAAAACCCTGTGTGCGGGACCCAGCCATCGGTGTGAAGAACAGCAGCCAGGACAAGAGGGTGTGCTTGTGTGTAAACAGAACAAACTAAAACAACTCCAAGAAAATGACCACAGCGCGGCCAGCGAGAGGGCAAAGGCAGGGTGGAGAAGACGACATCCGTTTCACCACGTCCCTGAATTCTGGCAGAGTGCCTACAGCATATTCTCAAACTCTAGGAAAAGAGTTCTTAACGATTTTTAAAATAATAGGTGAAACCCTGGCTGCTGGCTGGGTCTGACGTTAAGACGATGCCTGTGAAGGCACAGATCCAACCACCAAATGAAGGATGAAGCCAGGCGGCGGGCACTCGGGATTCCGGAGGAAGGCAGGAGGCCTCCACAGACTGCTCGCAGAGGAGCTGGGCGGCACCCTCGGCGGGGCCTCCGCACTGCGGGTGGACACTCGGCAGACTCTGCACCCACTGGAACACCTGGGTCCTGGGAAAACGCCAGAAGGGAACACGCTGCAGTGGCTGGTGGCAGCAAGAAAGAGGTTTGCTGGTCTTCCTTTCCACTGCCCTGTGTTTTCTGTATTTTCTACAGTGAGCATATATGTTACTTCAACACCACAGAAAAAAAGTGACAATAGAGGTAAAGCTTAATAATTAAAATATTTATTAAAACCCAAGGCACCTGGTACCTCAGTTTTCTCGGGCCCAGCTGTGCCGCCATCCCTAAGCCACCTACCCCCATGCTCTCCCCTGTGACATGGGGAGAGTCCTAGTACCCATCCCATGGGACTTTGGGAGACCAGGAGTTCACGCCCAGCGCATCACCAGGCCCATATCAGCAACAGACTCTGCTACTTTTGCTCCTATCCACATGATTCTGACTCCAAGGTGCCAGTCCTGGTCCTCCTGAGGACGGGTCCTGGGGGAATGTCAGCAACATAAGTGGCCCTGCCTCCTAGTGGCCGGAATCTAGACCAGAGACCACACCAGGAGAAATGGCTGAAGGACCTAGGCAAGGACACAGCCCTCTTGCTGGAGTTTCAGGATTTGGTCCAGCCTAGATCTAGTCCTCTCTGGATCTGCACCTGCAGGTTTCTGCTTAAACTAGTTTTAAGATGAGTCTCTGTCACTGGAGGCTGAACAACAGGGGCTTTCAATGAAGTGATAGCAGCTTCCACTTCCTGAAGATGACAAAAATTATCCTGGATGACCTGGTGTTAAGGCAGAGGGACAACAGTGGAGTCCAATAAAGAGAAACAGAAAAGAGAAGTAGAAAGAGTGATGTAAGATTCAAAAAGGCACCCACGGTGCACACCACAAGGCCCTGAAAAGCCCCAATACAAGGCCACTGGCCGCAGTATCCGGAAGGCCAATGCAGGTCACTCTGGGATGACAGAGTCCTTCACACACAGCCTGCCTCACAGCCCAGGAGGACAGAAGGGTGCAGGGCCCGTGAACATCAGCATCAGCAGTAGGAGAGGGAGGGTCCCCTCTTGCCATCAAGGTGAATGGCCTGCTGACAGCTAAGAGAATTCCTGTCAATAAGAGACAGCAGAGCAGCCACCAAAGAATAGTGAGGTTTGTCCAAAAAGGATCCCACAGGTTCAAGAACTGCTTTCTTGCCATATCCAAGTTCGGAGCCACTGTCTCCCTCCCAGGCGCAGCTGAGGACTGCCCACTCCAGAGCCCAGCTGCCACTACAAAGGACAACCCAGCCAGGCCTCCCAGGAGCCATCTCACGCAGGAGGGATCTGCTGGAAACACTGTGCCCCCCCACCCCTACCTGTGGGCAACAAAAGCAGCTGCATGCACCACACCCCAAGTTAACAACCACCTAGGGAAGGCAAGGGTGTGATTAGGAAAACAGGAGGCCAGGCGACCTCACCAAACAATTTGTAGCACGGCTTGGTAACTGAGATTTCAGTCACCCAGAATAATAGGGCCCTTTAGCACTTCAAGGTACCAGGCATGTGGGGAACAGTCCTGAGTTACATCCCCCACCTTTCTCTGCATGCCAGGGGTCTCTGCATGCCACCCAAAGCCCACAATGTCTCCCAAGGACCTGGGGTTACTGATAGGAAACAGGGCCTCCTCCCTTACCCTTGTGTGCAGAAGCAATGCCGCAGTCCTAGCACACCCCCACCCCCTCAAGTCAGCTTCTCTGGAGCAGCCTTCCTAGGTCTCCAGCCTCAGAGGCCCCACACCCACGCTTCCCTGCCCAGCACTGAGCACAGAGCAGCGGACTCCCTGGCTCCACAGCACTGCCCACTCCTAGGTTCACTACTCAGAGGCAGACACCAACAGTGGCCACCAGTACCAGTATTCCTCCTCCTAGATGCTCAGTGCCACCGCACTGCACCTGCTACACCCCACCGCAGAGCCAGGCATAGCCACAACATTTGCTCTGGTCAATGACATGTGATCAGAAGTGACACTTCTAGGAAGCAGCACTCAAGAGCCAGTGCAAGGCCCTCCAGCCAGTCCTCTCAGCCTCTCGGCAGTGTGGGGGCACCAAAGCCAGCCAGACCTACTGCCTGGAAACAACCCTGGCTGAGCAGCA